ATATCCTTTCATTGCTAAATCTCTGATTGTTGTTAAAATTTAAAACAAATGTATATTTTTTCAAGGACAAAGATTTAACAAAAAGGAACTTTTTTGTTCTATGTCAACACAATAAAAGAAAAAAAAGTGTGAGCTGTTCCAAAAAATGAAGATGAAATTACTTAGAGTGAATGAAAACAAAAAATCAGAGCCTACATGAAAAAAGTGTTTTCTTCACTCTTCTAGACACAGTACTTTGACCAAAATGCTGATTTTTTTAATTAAACTGTGAAGTAATACATTAGAACAGCAACTCAGTAATTCTTACCTGTTTTTTTCTGAGGGTGTTCCACTCAAAATAGTATATGAAACCATATCCTCAGATACTTTGTGTCTTCTTTGTTCCCTTTTTTGCTTTTTTTGGCTTTGCACAAGTAACTAATTAGATTTAACAATCCCTGTAAAGTCAGAGAAGGGAATGAAATTGAACTCACTTTCTCTCTACTATGTTGTTTTTTCCAGGCTAATTAGAGAAAAACTAGTAAAAGTGTATGTTTCTCAGTTTCAGATGAGGTCTGTCTCTGATACACAGAGAACAGCTTTGTTCATTAAAGATGTGTTATTTTTACACAGTTACTTTTCAGAGTAGAATTGCATTGTAAACATTAGTGAAAAGATATTATACATTAACTGTGAAGCATTAACTTGCTATTTGCAGAAAAGCAAGTTGCATATTGCTTGTTCTAAGCACTGTTATAGAAAACTTCTTTTTATGTCTTCCAATTACACTTTTCAGGGTTTCTTTTAAACATTTGTAGTGTGAATGAGTCTTGAATAATAGCAAGCCAGCAACTAAATTTTGAATGCAGATGGTTGTAGAGATTTATGATTTCCTCATACTGATTTGTATGAATTGTTCTAAAATTTTAACATGAGAGCAATTCCATATGATGATTAGAAAGCCTTGTTCTTTGACCTGATTGTATAAAGTCACATCATATAAAGCAGTAACACGACTAATATACTTTTTTGCTTTTAATTGTCAGTAATTATATTGACCATACTAAATTAGATTTTAATCTTTCTGTTACCTATCAGAGCACAGAGAAACACTATTTCACATTGGTATTAAGAGATTTGGCCATGTCAATCCACCTTATCATTTCAAAGAAATTTAGACAACCTCCAGGTTACATTTGGAATGAGAGGATTTACTCTTTTTTTGTTTGTGATTAATTACATACTCTACCATCTGGGTCTGCCATGCTAAAGGAAGTACAATATGCTGATTCTATTTTTGTCCTTTCTTCTTCCTCTTGACCATATGCTTCAGATGCTCTGAATCTCATCGGACTGATACTGAGCTTTCTTTATTAGAAATACCTCTTCTTGCCTTTTTTTCTTTGTTGCGTAAAGTCACTTAGCAGGTGCAAAAAGGATACTTCTGGAAGTCTCTCATAAAACAAAGCCGCGTGTGAGGGAAAGTGCCAGAAGACAGCAGAAAGCCATTGCTAAAATTCTTCATATTTTTCAAATTACAGTGTATCAATATGTTGGGTGTTTACATAATCATCTTTGTAGTGTCACAATAGCATGTATTCTAGCAAGAGGTTTTAGGAGTGATTTTTACTCTTCTTTTACCCGTCGACAGTGGTATATTTTTAGGAAGAGGGTAATATAGACTTCTAATCTTCTATATAAATGTCTATCTAAGGGAACTGAGAGGCCGCTGAGTCAATTCGCTTGGGTGGAGTGAATCTACTCAAGGGCATTACAGGGTGAAATGAACGTGTCCCATTCCAGTGGCGGACACAAGACAAATCTTGAGAAATTAAAGAAACTCACTTGTGAATGCCGTTGTACTGATGTGATTCAAGACTTGAATATTAAATAGATATGATCTATATTTGGTTAGAATCAGAGGTGCAAAAACTCTCTGAAACATGCATTTCAAGCAAAGTGGAGGAGAGGCAAAAGAAAACTTACGAAGGAGGGTTGTAGACCTAACCATATATTTATTCAGCCCCTTCAAAACGGATACGAGGTGGAAACATAGAGCTTATGGAAGAATGGAAAAAGAGGTACGTTAGCCAGGAAGGCTAGTTTTAGAGATCAGAAAAGCGTAGGATTTAAACTACAGTCATCAACAGTCAAGCTGAATCTTGCAGAGCAATTTAGAGATACAGCCAAAGATTCTTCAGCTGTAGAAATAAAAAGAAACTAAGGAAAGAAGAGTGGCCATTTTTCAATGAGGGAGAGATGGAGACAGAAGGTAATATAGACAGAACCTGGAAACTGAATACGCTGCCCCAGATTTCAGTAACAGTGATCTTGAACATAAGAGACAGCATCTTCCTCAAACTGAACATAGTACATACCAAAGCTTTTACCAGCACCCAGTAGAGCACAAGGATAGCTGTTTTTATTACATATGACATTTCTGTTTATATATTTTAATACAAGGTTGTTGACTCATGATCAGTGTGTGATCTGCCATGCTTCACAGATCGTTTTCTTGGAGAATTGCCATACTACTGATCATTCCCTTTAGTGGCTGTGTACACTGCAACTCTCTCTCTCTCTCTCTTTATTTTTTATTTTTTAAATTATAGTATATTTTTTCAGACCACTTCTAGGTGTGTTAAAATTATTCAAATTCCAACACTGCTCTTCGGCATACTAGCGTGGCATCGTTTTCATGTTTAATGTGCAAAATGGTACTGCAGAAACTGACAGCGTAGGCATGAAAGATTGTGGCAAGAAAATACATCCTTTTCCAGTAGCATATTGCTGTGTGGATCAGGTTTAAGATACTCAGGAGGTGCTTTCAAATTAATAACTGAAATCTAATTTCAGTTCGTTTTGTTAAATACTCTTCTTGTTTTACAGTGTGTTCTTAAGGTGACTTAAGATTTACAGCTGGGAAAATCTTTAACGTTCAAAGTAAATTGTTCTGTTGGGGAGTTTTTGATGTACAATGGGGGAAAATACTATGATAAATAGCTAATTTCCCTAAAGCAAACTTACTTCATTATTTCATTTATGGATCACTATGCTGAGTTTAAAAAGAAAACTGTTTGCTCTGGAACAATTCAAATAGCAGAAAATCTTATAATAGTTGAGCTGAACTAGTAACTAAACGGAGCCACAATAAACTGTGGTAGAGTAGCAGTACAAGAACTAAAAAAAGCCAAATCAAAAGTGATCTATTGGTTTTACCTATTAAACCTAATTCTTCAATAAAAATAATTGAAATTATGTTATTTCCATCACAAAGGATTGTATGATTTTCATTGTATGACTTTCAATTTGATTTTCCACCATTACACATGCCAGTTAAGGAAAAGAACATTTTGTATCCAGTATTTTCAGATGAATTAGTTCATATTTTGGGACTGTTTTTTTTACAAAGGATTTCTTTTTTTTCCCCCTATCATTTCACAATGATTTTTTTATAATCTGCGTAATTCTTTTGTTAGAGACAATGGAGGAGAAACTTCTTTTTTTAATGAAAAAATGCGATTAATTCTAAGACCGCATACTTTTTGACCCTGGTAGATGGCGATAGCTTAGTATTCTGAAGAACCTTATCTTAACAAATTGACTGGACTGCAAGTTAGTTATATTCCTGTAAGAAATAATGTATATTTTTTGCATATCTTTTCAAAACTTCTTTGCATGATATAATATTAGAGTATATTACATTATTGTATTTACCATGCTAAACTTCACAGTATGGCTAGGATCCATAGTAACTAAAGCTGTAATCTATTAACTCTGACCTAGTACTCAACACAGTGCGATAAGTAGAAGGTGCCATGTCGCCACTTCTGACCAGCGCACAGTAGAAATTTTTTAATGTAAATTGATGTGCCTGCAGGAGCTCAGTAAGATAACACAAAAGTGAAGTGCAGCTGATGATTAGCTGCTTCTGTTGAAATGTTCGCTTCCCTTTCTACAAAGATCCTGAAGGAGCCATGGAAAATACTGTTTCAGGAGTCATTGCCTTGCACAGAAGCAAGATAACACCTTGCTGCTTGGCAGTATCATGGCATATTAGAAAAAAAAACTGTAGGAACTCAAGCAATAGCTGATCATCCCAATGCATTATTTTGTGACTTGCTGCAAAGTTTTGAAAAAGGGAATGAGGAATGTAGGAGAGTTGCTATCTTGAGTAGCATTATTGTGTTTGATTATTTTAAGATGATGTTTTGTGTTGAATGTCTCATATTTTATGATGTATGGTAAGAAAAGTTTATTTTTCTTCCTTACTTACTTATATATATTCCTGAAACAAATTTGTTATTTGCTTTTACCTTATTGAAATCCTCTTAATTCTTTTTTTCTGGGTCTGAAATTCACTTTACTGGATTGTAAATTAGAAGATTCCTGGTAAAACTAAAAGGCAATTTTAATCTAATAGTAATGGTAAATTTGAAGGAGAATTCATATGTGTACCTCTGTAAATTTATTTGATGAGGACACTTCTAATAGATCCTCCTTGTTGAGAAAGTATTTGTTTTAATTTGCTTACCCATATCTTATCCAGGAGGATTTTCAGCTTCTGTTCCATTTCAAATATTTCTTATTTCTCAACATGTTAACTATATATGGCACGTTTATGAAATGTAATAGTCAATAAAGTCATGTGCCGTGAAGTAGGATACCATTTGAAACAGGTAACTTTTTTCCTAATGAGTAACTGTTAATTATTGCATTCAGCAATTTAAAAAATTGTTTGCATCAAGACAGGACGCAAGTTAGGATTTTCTAAATTGATGTTCTAGATTTTTGCTCACAAATGTGTTTCACTGAAGCATACATTGTTTACATTTCGTTAAAAGTTAGTAATTGCCTGATTATGTAATAGCTTGCAATAAAACCACTTAGAACAGGGAAGGTGTCGTTATAGCTTGCTTAAAGTAAGAACAGGATCTAAATGTGAAGCTCCGTAATCACCACAGAATAATCACTTTAGCAAAATATTTATACTGAGAGGTTTTTTTGTTGTTGTTTTGCAGTCTCAGTTTGAACTCAGGGTATTCCATATTCGTGGAGAACATGCTGTATCAACTGCGCAGCTTGAGGACACCATTGCACATCTGAAGAATGAACTGGAAAATAAATTAAATAGAAGAAACGAAGCAGCAAGGGATATTGGTGTATCTACTGAAGATGATAACCCACCAAAGACGTACAGAAATGTATGCATACAGACTGATAGAGAAACTTTCATAAAGCCTAGTGAAGAAGAAAACAGAGCCGTGAAAAATAACCAAATAGTACCCAAAAAGCTTAATATTTCTTCTTTGACTCATAGCATATCTGCCCAAAGTGAAAATAAGGAAGTATGTTACAATGTACAGTCTTCAGAAAGTGTCTTATCTTGTCAACCAAAACAAATGCTGCCGCCTCCTCCACCACCACCGCCACCACCACTTCCTCCTCCCCTTCCAGATTCTTCACTAACAGGTTTAATCCCTCCACCACCACCTTTGCCACCAGGTCTGACTTCACTGACATCCCACTTTGGATCTGGGCCGCCCCTGCCACCTCCACTTTCTGAGGACTGTAGGAATTTTCAAGCGCCACCACCACCACCACCGCCGCCGCCGCCACTTCCAGGGCTGGCCCCTCCTGCTCCTCCTCCACTGCCTGGATCTGGGTTGCCTCCACCCCCTCCACCCCTTGGGCCTGGGTTCTTTCTTAATAGCACTTTATCTGCAAGCCAGGGTCCTCGGAAACCTGCCATTGAACCTAGCCGTCCCATGAAGCCTTTGTATTGGACCCGCATACAATTACAAGGCAGCAGGTAAAATAAATTTATTTGGATTTAGAGGTGCTATTTATGTCCGATGATATATGTGCATGTACGCTATTTAAGCCTTAATAACAAAAAGTAAGCAATGCAGGAATATATAACAAAATCAGTATAGAGGCATGGAATTTAATCTTCTAAGAAAACTGAAATGGAATGAGTTTCAAAAGCCTAAAAATAGGTAATAAGAAATGGTTTTAAAATAGTAAATATAAATGAAAATTACATACCTTGTTACAGAAAGAAGTTTTGTAGTTTCCTTCTGGAACGTCAGAGTACTTCCTGTGCAGCCCCGGCTATTGCTCTTCTAGTGGCAGGGCAACCAAATATATTGATCATTCTAGAATTAGCATTAAAAAGAAAAAAGTTATCCAGGAGGTAACTTTTTTTTTTTTAATCTAAATTAGAATTGAAATGTTAGCATTTGATTAGATGAGAACTTTGAGTTTCATTTACTTTCCAGTCACTTTAGATGAAACTATCTTCAGAGCACCGAGTGTGTCATCATCTTTGATTCCACCCCTAGGAACAGTTACACTGGGGCTTAACCTCTATGTACAGTTCTGTGGGAGCAGGAAAAGTAAAGCATAGGGACATATGCTGTAAACATCTAGGTCCCTGCACAGTATAGTAGTTAAAAAATAATATTTATTATATCTTACCAATCTTACTGTCTTTAGTGCTGTGATTAAACTAGGTAACTGCAAAACAAAATGAAACCACTGCAACCTTAACATTTTCTGAGCTATAAAATAGTCTAATCATATATACCTTTATAGTAAATTTAAACTTACTATGAAATACATTATTTTACTGATGCTGTTCATAAGGGACCATTTGGCGAACAGGCATAGAGAGATAAACAGTTCTTGGGCTGTGTTTTTTCAAATGTTCTGTGTATGCTATCTGTGCATTCAGTTGGCAGCATGCATACCTTACTGCCACAGTGGGATGTGGTTTCAGTGCTGCTCAGCTGCTCTTTTGGATAGAGGCTGTGTCTAACTCTGCTCTCTGATCTTTTAAGTGTTTATTAATGTCAAGTGGGTTGCCTGAAAAAATATATTTTTTAAGATGCTTAAATGATGCAGAATATTTCCAGTTTATCAAGGAGTTGCTAGAATCACGAAATATAATTTAGGTCCTGTGTTATGCAAGTAATGAAATAAGATGATTTTTAGGGTCTTAAAATTCATATCATTATTATCTGTGCAAAACAATTTTATCCTAAGTACAGTTACAAAGGTGATACATGGTTTATTTTATACATTTTAAGAAATGATTTATTTTTTGGACTCCTAATCTTTCATTTTAAGTTAACTTCAGGGTTATTTTTAATCACTGTTAAAGTAAACATTTACATGCTTTAAGATATATTTAATAGGAGATATTTTTAGTTTAGTTTACAACTAAACTTTCATCTGACTTTATTCTGATGGACAGATACAGGTACAAAATCATAATTCTGAAAATTTTATTCTGATGTAATCAAACACTTTAACATGTTGCTATTTTATGTAAAGTGTTTGGCAGGAACAAACAGTTAATGAAATGTCAGTTGTATCTTTTTGATACAGAATTAAAGGATGTGAAGTATTTTGGAATAGGAAGTTTTCAGCATTTTGGTTTTGCTTTCCCAGAATTGCTAGTGATAAATTGTTTCGTAGGGAATAGATGAATATTAGTAAATGGTTAATAAATAAAGCTTATTGTAGTTCTTCCTGTTCACTGAGATCAAAATGCTTGTTTTGAGATACTGCTAGTTTATCAGGCTTTTGCTTAGTGCAAGATAGTGTCTAGGACACAGCTTTCTAGTAGACCAGGTCTATTGATCGGATATCTTCATGGTCTGTCCTAGAACTGGAGAGTTCTACCAGGGTCTGCTGCTTACAGCAGCAGCTGTCCAGGCTTGGAAGGTCATCTTGTTATAGGCCCAGAATGCATGGGTCTAAGACCGTTCTTCAGTGAAATCACTCTGGCTAACGTCATGAAGAGTGAAGTTGTGGAGCTGTTGTCACAGAAGGATGCGTTGCATCAGTGGATGCTAACGGAAGGATTAGAATTCCTTAAACATTCACCCCTAGTAAATGTACAGTTGAGGATTATGTAGGAACAATCCTAAATATCAGAAAAAAAATCATTTGAATACCTACAGTTCATGTTCCCCTTACGTGACCAGGTATTCCATTCTATTGCATGTTGTATCTAAAAAGAGTATATTTGGTAACATCAACCGTTTGCAGTTTATAGGGGTTTTCACCACTTTTTTTTTTATTACAAAGCATTTCATTGGCTTTTAGTGACATCTGCTGGAAGAAGTGGGCCCACCTGCCATTGATAAACATGAAACAAGAAGAGCAATTTGGAGATAATTTTGTCCCACGTATTTTCCTCAAATATTGTAATTTTGAAACAAAAGTCATTTAGAATTGAAACACTTAGTTTACAGTACTACATATCATTTTTACCCAACTCCAGATAAAACGAGAGAATTGTGTTAACAAGTTCCAAAGTGTAAAAGGTGATTTTTATCCATACTAAGGAAAGATAATCCCTATTTAAAATTTACAGTTGGTTGAATGGGGCAGAATACTAGTTAGTCTCACAAAATACTGGCTACATAACTACCCTAGTTTCTCAAACCTGTAACAAAGAGAAATAGAAGCATAAAACATCTGTAAAAAATGAAGTGAATCAAGTTCTGTACAAATGACCCCAAACTCTATTAAAACATGCTTTTATTGCTACCTTTCCTTTAATAGGAAAACTGCTGTTCCAACATTGTGGGATTCACTAGAAGAACCTGATTTACTTGATACAACTGAGTTTGAATACTTGTTCTCCAAAGATACAGCTCAGGAAAAAAGAAAACCATTATCAGAGACTTATGAAAAAAAAATGAAGGCCAAAAAGGTATTATTTCTTTGTATCTACTTATTTTGTCACTGCTTAGTTTACACTTTAAGAAAACTTTTTATTTATTGTTAAATTAACAAATAGCAGATGGGTTTGTAAATCCTGTTTTAAAGCAAAATACATGAGATTGCGATTCGGCAGTACCTAGAGAGCTGAATTCTGGATTTTTTTTTACCTTGGAAAACGTATTGCTTTTGCAAATGAAAGTTCCATGTCTACCCGGTGAGGTAGACAAGACATAGAGCTTTCAGTCAGGTCACTTATACAATATGTGTCTAAAAGTGACTGCATTTCAGACCATGTCTGCTCTTGGAATGATTTATAATTAAAGACTACTATTATGTTAATCTAGCAAACCTCTCTTCCAATAGAGAGAAATTAATTTACTGGAAAAATATAGTATAGAGCAAGATAGTAGAGCCACTGCTGTATGTTTTGAATAAGTAATGCTAAAACATGGTTTTCCAGTCAACAGCTGTGTCAAGAAGGGACAGGACAATCACGTCTTTGACTATCAGAAGTTTACGCAGCAGCAATGTCATTATTGTAGCACAGATGTTGTCTGCCTCAGATATGGCCTGTTACGGAGGTAGCTTATTCTTATCAATTGCTGTGTACAGACAGGACGGAGAAACAGCGTGCAGGAAAAATCTTAATCTGAATAATGATTGACGTTGTTTTCATAAAACTACATGGTTGTATATTTTAAATCTGTTTAAATCTGTACTGTATCATAAGTCCAGGCTTACCTACTTGGAACCACAAGAGGGCACTTTGCATGTAAGGTATGCTGTCTACTTTTTAAAGTTTTACTGTACATATAAAGAAACTCAGAAAAATCAAATGTTCTGAAACATCTTTAATCATACACTTCCTGTGCCATGTCTTAGTAGAATACTTAATGAGGAGTGTAATCAAGGCTGTAGAGTTTGCTCCAAGCAAACTCACATCCAAGCTAATGTGATAATATAGAAAGAGAAAAGTGGGAAGAAGGGGAGTGGCATTTGTAAATAAACCTTAAAGCAGTTGTTAACTGTTAAGGTCCTTTAAATATTAGATTTCAGTTGGATGCACTCATCCCTTTGGAAAATATCTTCATATCATATCATGCTTTAAGTACATATGTCATGTAGTACTCAGCTGTATATGTAAGTCCTGTTAGTTCATATTTCTGCTGCCCGCTTTCTGGAGTTTATTTTTCCATCTCACTAATCTTATTCCTTCAGAAAAATATAGATTCCTAAAGAGGAATGTAATTAATAAAACTTTAATTAGAAGCACAGCTACTTAACCTTTTGTATTTCATAGTCTTAGCAGCTAAGTGAATAAAGCTAGTTCTCCAAGTGTATGGCAGCAAATGTGGTAGCAAATTAGACCTGTATTCTGAAAGGTAAATGTGTATTGCTATTCTCTTTCCTTACTGCTTCGTAAGTTGCTTATTTGTTACAACACCGCAGGCTTTTTCAATGATCTTTTTAACTTTGTCCAAAATCTGGTTGCATAGCAGTTACTCTATACAATATAGGAAATAATGGTATAAGTACTCGTTATTGCAAGTACTACTTCTTGTGAGGAAACAATGCATTTTCTTAAAAAGATTTTTTTTAATTTATGTCAGTGTTTGAATTATTCTTTATTTGTTACTAAATGTAAACTTACTTACTTTTAAAGCTAGAGATATATTTACTGAAATTATTGGAATTAAAAAGAAAGAAGTTCCTTGAAAAATTGTGCAAAAATACAAAAAATAAATCCCTTAAAAGTAGAGATAGGCATTTTATTTAGGAAATCAATTACTGTGCCTTCAGTTCAGTAAAACTTGTGGGGTTCTGGTCATGCTATTACAAACCATGGAAATTGTAGGGTTTGCTGTAAATGTTCCTGAAGAACATGGTCAGTAATATTAAACCTTTTGTCATTTGGTCCATTTAAAAATTGAAAATAAATAAGCTTTTAGAATTCAAATGAAATCTAACTGGATCTAGAAGCATTTTTTTAATTTTTGATTCTATCTTCTTACCTTTCCTTGATAAATGACTCGTAGTAGCAATTGAAAGTTTTGCAGACAGTTGGTCCTCTTATTATGGTTCTTTGTCTCTCTGAAACCTCAGATGTCTGCAGGCTAGCCCCAATGGATCAATCTTGGTGGGCTCCAAGCAATCCAGCAGTAGGGAGGCATTGTACTTAGTTACAGTATGGCGTATTAGCGTATTAGTTGAAGGTGACAGAAGGGTCCTTGTAGATTAATTTAGAGCTATCAGTTCTGGCGTCATTTCTCCCTTTTCATGCTTTCTCTCAGCTCTCAACCTCGCTTGACTTTTTTGCAACAACGATATCTGTCTGGTGGGGTTTTTTCTTTTTTTCAGTTCAGAAACTTGTGCTTGTCTGGTCTTAAGAATGTTACAAGTATCACGGGTGTATGGAATTGTATAGCCTAGCAAAAAAAAAAAAAACCTATATACAAACATAAAAGCATATTCTGAATCTGATTATGTTTAATCTTAAATTATCATTTTTAGCTGACTCATTCTGTGTTTCTTTATCAATTCTTTTTTATGTTCTTGCAAAAGTCTTCCAGAGCAAGATTTAGGTACAGCCGACCTCTGAACATAATGAGCGGCAAGTAGAAAATGGGAAAATATTGTAGGTTTTGCATAGTTAAACAAGTAGATAGGGCTTGTTCCTAATATATGCAGTACAAATTGGTATTAATTTTTTACACAAAGTGTCAATTAATACAACACTTCAAAAACTTTCTGCAGTTTTAAAATGTTCTCATGTGTCTGGCTTTACTGTTACCTCCTATTCACTGTTTTTACTTTTCCAGTGTAAACATCTTGCAAATGCATTAATAAATGTTTTGTTAGCACTGACCTTTTCCCTTACACAAGCATTGTCCTATTTCATTCCATCTTATACAAACTAGTTGGGCCTGCTTGATATTTAGAGAAATGAAAGACCGATAGGTGGTGCAGGATCTCTTGTTATAACATGATTGCTTAAAATTCATCTCCTTGAATCAGAATTAAATCAGTGCCTCACAGTCAAGTCCCTTTTGCAACTGGAAATGAAGTTCTGTTTTTTGAAATTAGAGGGACATTGTTTTTCATTTAACTTGGACCTCTTTATAAAACTAAGGAGATTTTAACACTCAGTGCCCTGTTAAATTGTGACCAACTTCTTTACCGCCTATTTACATTTCTATTACAGTTTCAAATAAAAACCCAATAATTCAATTTATTCTCAGAATTATTTCTGTGAAACTAGTCATAATAATCTGCCTGCCTGGTCTGTGAAAGGAACGCTTATGTGCAAAAAGCTTACAGAAATTTCACTTTATTATTGTATTCTTACCCGTTTGGGGAACAATGACTCCTTATGGCAGACCCCTTACAACAACACGGATTACAAATATTCACCACCTACCATGCTTTTATTCTTTACAGCTGGCAGTCGTTTTTGGCCAGAGATATCAAAATCTTGACCTACATGAAAAGAAGTGATAATTTGTGAACAAGTTCATACCGTTCAGGATAATCAGCTACCTAAAAATGAGAAAGGGGGACAATTGGCTAAGTAGTGATGTAGCAAAAAAGGATTTGGGGGTTATCATGGATCACAAGATGAGCATGAATTGTCAAAGTCATGGTGCTACAAAAAAAGGGAAAACAAGCCTCTGATATATGAACATAAGTATTTGTTGTAAGTTAAGAAACTCAGCCAGATCTTAGTTAACAACTCCATCTAGTTTGGGGCATTGCAGCCCATGCTGAAAAATGTTTACTAACTGTGCAGAGTCCAGAGGCGAGAATGATTCTGAGAGTCAATTAAGAGGCGTAAAGCCCAGTTGCTATCCATTCTCCCATGGTAGAAGAGCTGTCGTTTTTCTCCTGTTTGTTTTTCCACATTGGAAGCTCTCTATTCATTACTTTCATGCAAGCAAGAAAATGGCTTATTAATGGAGTTACAGTAGTTTATAGTGGCTATCATCCTGACACCAGAATGTAATTACTAGAATTTGAAAAACAGTTATTCAAAAATAAGTTATTCTAACAAGTATGTGGGGGAAAAAAGAAAGAAGGAAGGTTAAGAACCTTCATGCAGCAATGAAGATGCTGCCTAGAGGGTGATTTTGGTTATTTTTTAGGCACATGTTTGAGAGAAATGTAGTACATTCTGTAGTGGTACAATGTAAAAATAATATAATGTAAATGTTAATATAGTTTAAAGGAAGGTCAGATGTACCTTCAGGTACATTTCTTTGTACTTGAAGTTTCTTACAGTAATGCTTATTTGGTGCTTAGAAGCTCTGCGAAGTTTTTTGGCTGCTCGTGCTTCTCTGATCATGCACTCCTTTGCAAAATTCTGTGGCTTCGAAGTAACCCCTTTTCATTTCAGCAATGCATTCTCTGAAATATTTCAGGAAACCCTTATCCTTGTGCGTTTATTTCCTCTGCATCTATGCAGTCATGTGAAGTTCTGCAGTAGTATATAGATAATTATCAAAACACATATTCTCATCTCTCAAGATGTAATACCAAAAAGTAGAATTTGTCTGTTTTGGCTAGGGAGAACTTACTGAATGTTCTAGTTATGTCCCAATATTAAAAGCAGAAAATGTGCAATATATTTCAAAATCGATAAATACAATTATTTTCTTATGGGAAGGGATTTGTAGAGTAAATGTAAAAGCATTTTAAGTTTATATGAGATAGTTCAATGCAGTTGATTTTTGGGTGTGACATATATGAATTGGAAAGGAGGAAATTGCTTGTATCCTGACAAACTTAGGTGTATAGAATAGTATATAGAAGGAGCGGGATTTATTGCCTAAGTTAATTCTGAAGTGCCCGCCTTTGCAACAAGAAAAGTCAAAGTTTCCGGAAAAAAATAAAGAAGCAGAAGTGATTAATGCCTGAATATGAATCAAAGCAATTTCTCTCTGGTTTTGGTTAAATGAGTTTAGTTAATCTAAATATGTAAGTTACTGTTATCAT